AAGGAAAGGAAGGGAAAGGAAAGGAAGGGAAAGAAGGGAAGGGAAAGAAGGGAAGGGAAAAAAATTAATTAGTTCAAATCAATACATTAATATGTGGTGGACAGAGCGCAGTTTTGGCCATTATGATCTAGACACATGTAGCCCTCATGTTGCTCAGTCCAGAGCTCTGGCAGGGCCCAAATTTCATGAACCAGGTGTGAAGTTTGGGAATGCTCCATTCCAGCCTTTAGGCAGGGCCGGCCTTTGCTGCGGGGCGTTTGTTTGCTCATTTTGTTTTTGCATCCATAGTGACTCTACAAACTGCTTGCTCCTTCTCCAGCTTCCAAGGGAAGTGCCACTCTCCATGGCAGAGCATGGCTGGAAACTGCCAGCCACAAGCATTAGGAAAGTGTGAGTCTAGTCCCACCAAATCATGGGATAGCTTTAACACTCAGGAGGTGATTTTTACAGACCTGTGTGTTCTTTCTGTTTGCTACCTGATCCTTCAGTCGTGTTTTCAAGCTTCTCCCTGTCCCCTGGGTTTGCAAAATATCGTTGTACAAAATACTATAAGAAGAATGTGTTCAGAAGATGTGCAACAACCTGATTTTTAGGAGAAATTCCCAATATTGTCTGTATTACACCTAGCAACTCTTGAAGCTTCTTAGGTATAGCACGTAAGTCACAAGAGTGCTTGGTTCAAGAACCAACTTAGCCTTGGACTTCCAGTGGGACCTTGGGCAAGTCATTTATCTTGTGCAACAGGGGACATTATGGGTAATAAGGGGATGGTGGTACTAAACCCCATTGATTACACAGCACCTGGGCATGGTAATGGCAGAGCCACATAGGTACAAGGGTGAGTCATGTGGAGACTGGGAGACTGCAACCCAGCCACTGGTCTCAGGGAAATGTTGACACAAACTTCTGTGAGCCAACACAAATCAAGGAACTATTTAATGCTGGCAGGATATATTTTACCTCCTTGTACATCCCAGTCACCCTCTCACTTACCAGCACTGTCGTCAGGATGGAAAGTTTATGCTCTTGCAAAGTGGCGGGCTTGTATTTGGTGATATGCAACCAAAATCAGTCTCTCCAACCAACTAGAGGAAAACAGCTCATATTGCCTGTCTGGGCAAGTTACTGTTTTATTCACAGTGTTTAATAGGATATGCCCACAGCAAGCTTTCTGGGGAGACTGCTGCTGGAAAAGCTGGGTAGTAATACAGTGCTGCACTCATCGAGGGAAGGAGCTGGAGAAGCTGAGTCGTCCTGCACCTCTGGGTGGATGACGGAAATTACCAGCCAGCCCCCATCACTGAGTGTCATATTTTACCCTTAGAATTTTTTTTTTTTTTTAAATAGGCAACCTAAACACTGTTCTTATTTCTTTGGAGGGATGAGCTGTTCCAGGCAAGTCTAGGGCTTGGGGCAGGCTTTGGATCTGGTACCCTGGTATCAGGGAACATTGCGATATCACCCATCCCCAGCTCCTGTCCATGCCACGCTGGAGATTTGCAGGTGGGTCAGACCCGGGCAGAGTTTCTTCTGGATGAAGTCAGTCGTTCCAGTTAGCAGCGCCGAAACGCCGGGGGAGGCCAAATTCGTACAGTAGTAACTTGCTGTGTATTGCAGATCCACAAACAAGACTGGCAGGGTTGGAAATGACTTCATGCCCAAATGATTGACAATTGCTAATAGGGTCCAGGCACTGGCAGGTCCTCTCGGAGGGGGAGAGCTTGAACTTTGTGTCTGAGCTGCCAAATTGGTTTTCTTAAAACTCTTAATTTACTTTCGGGGCTCCTGGAACCTCGCCTCCTTCATTAATTGGATGGTCAGCATTGTGCTCGCGCTCGTTTGGTTTCCGCTCCCCCCGCACACAAGCGCATGCACCATTTCCAAGGGTCGCCCTGGCTCTGATCTGCTGCTCTTCTGGCCCACCGCTCCTGTCACCAAGTCCCCGGAGACAGCGGCGCTCACGGAAACCTTGTGGGGCCTTTTCCCTTTTAATTTTAAGTTAATTTAGTGCCGATGAAAGGGGGTGATGGACAGGTTTCTGTTTATCCCCCGAGGAGGGCGAAGCAAGCGGGCGTTCATGGTGCTGCCTGACCCTTGTCACTCAGCGCACAGCAGAGAGGAAACCTCCCGTCAAAATGTAGCTGGTCCCTGCGCTGCTCCAGGCTCCTGAACATCCCACAGCAGTCACGAGTGCGGCAGGTCTTAGCACCTCCCGCCCCACCGCGGGAAGGGAGCAGCCCGCTGGTTTTGTCTGACAAAGTCTCTCTTTCCTACAGTGTCCCGGTTTTCAAGCCCACGGGTGACACCGAGATTAAGCCGAAAACGAGCCCTGTCTATCTCCCCGCTCTCTGATGCCAGCATTGATCTCCAGACGATGATCAGGACCTCCCCAAACTCTCTCGTGGCATATATCAACAACTCCAGAAGCAGTTCAGCAGCGAGTGGCTCCTACGGCCATTTATCTGCCGGGACAATCAGGTAACGCTCAGGGACTGCCTCCTTTCAGCTGCGTAACCATCCCTGCAAAGGAGGGGTGATCCTCCAGCAAGGGAGACCTTCCCTTCCTTGCAACCTCTGCTTTTGTGCACTGGGGCTGTGTAGTGTATTAAATCAAAGCCCCCCTCTGGTTTTGCATGTGGAAGGGTACTTTCTGGCATGGGGTGGTGGGTGGGGATGCTGGATTGGGATTATTGCTTACCAGACTTCCAGTAATTACAGTATGAGCATGCCTCCCTGCAAGCAGAAATGGAGAAAAAGAAAATTGTCTAAAAAAATGCTTATTGTGAGTGGTTGGATTGATTAAGAAACCCTCTGATTTAAGAGATTGCCCTGAAGTATTCTCCAAATTATTGGTCCACATCCTTAAAAAAAAATGCTGCCTGGGCGGATTTAAGAGCCTAATTCTAAAAACATATTTAAAACAAATCTAAACCCTTGAGTAAAGTTTTGCTCAATCCTTAATTAAAAAGCACTTACACTAGGCAGCTCACTGTTGTCAATTCCTGCCGTGATTGCTTCACCCAAGTTTCACAGCGTTATTGTTCTTTTTACTGCTTAACTGTTAAAAATGTTAGTTCTAATTAACACTGATGTTGCAAAGTAAGGGTTTATAAAGATCATGCACTCCTAAAATTTGTAGTTTTTTTTTGTAGGGAAAAACAGAGACATTGCCATTAGTAGCTGTAACATTAATTTTATCAGTTACTTTATCCAGCAGCATGGTTTAGAAATTGACTGTAGAATCAAACATAATGCTAACTTAAAAATAGCAACTCCTTGTCTGGTAACTGTATTTTTCTAGTCGTGTCACCTGTTGTCTTTTAACTGGGCATACCTGTAGGATCTCATCTTATACTCGGATTTTAAGCTTTTCAGGGTAGCATCTGGTATTTTCAGCAAATCAGCAGAGTGCAGAGTCTGACCCAATGGTCAGTTGTTGGCCTCCGAGGGAATAATCACGTAATAATACTGACTTTTAAGCTCTTCTCGGTGTTCTAAAGGTATATCTTGAATGTCAGGAATTGTGAAATGGGTTACATATATAACAGGATAACTGTCAGCATTTTGGGGTGAAAAGAGGTTTTTTTGTTATTATTTTAACAATGTACTAGTGGCAGGAATGAAATCCTTTCTCACCCGCTCAGACCCAGCACTTCAGAAAGTCATTTTTGGACTTTGCTGGAACATAACAAAGCTGTGCAGCAGCCTGCCATCACACCTCATTTGCTGCAGCTTGTATTTAACTCCCAGAGCTCTTTTACACTGTAGTGATTTTTGCCCTTTATTCTTTTGGTCAAGTTGCTATTAACTGGTTTGGAACAGAAATACTAATTGTGTGGTCACCAGCAATAAGTATTTTCTCTAAAAGCAAAATTGGAAATGAAGCATGTTGCCAATTATGGCCCTGTTCTCTGAACACTCACACCGTGGGCAGTTTTAGTGATGTGCGAAGGAAATAACACATGGGTAAAGGTTCAGGGCAGCCACCTCCTAAACGTGGCAAATAATCAACTTTTGGGCTGCAAGTCTATGGTTCGTGCATCACCTGCCCAGAGAGTACAGGCAGCAGAGCATCTCCCGTGCTTCTCCATCTCTGCCAAGGGGACTCACCCCTGGGAGTGAACCCCTTGTTTCCAGGAGCAGCACTTCGTTTTTAGTGCTGCTGACTGCTGCGTCCTGGCCCAGACCTGGCGCCCCCAGTTAACGCCCAAGCAGCCGGGAGCTGGTCGTGTTTCTGGCCACTGCTGACCTAGATTGGAGCTGAACCAGTGACCTACATATGAAAGGTGACATACATCAGCAGTCCCCCGAGCCAGCACTCCCCTCACCTGAATGCAGAGCAAACTGCATGGGTTTGGACTATGTTAAATGGATAGTTATTCGTTCCCACTGTGATCTGTGCCAGGTGAGCCAGGTGATGCTGGTTTTTTTTATATCCAGGGTAGCATAACCCCAAGGTTGCAAGTCTGCAGAATAGGTCTGCCTGGGGAAACCTGGGAGCCTCAGGGGCTGCAAAGCCAGATGTGTCCAAGCCCTGTCCTCTTCTGCACTCCCTGCCAAGGGCTTTGGCTGTTTTTAAACATAGGAAGCAAAGAAATTACAATCAGTCTGATACGTGGGTTGAAATGATTCACAAATTTGCTGAGGCACACACAAGACGGATCCTGTCTTTGCGGAAAAACAGGCTGTCAGGATTATCGTGGCATTGAAGGCATCTAGCTGGGGCATTGCAGCCTGTCTCCTGGAGTCTCCAGGAGGCCAAACTTGAATCAGTCACTAGCCAATGTGATAAATATTGTTTAAAATAACTCCTCATCATCTTTCCTCCTCTTGCCGCAGCCCGGCGTTCAGCTTCCCCCACCCCATCAACCCCGTGACGTACCAGCAGATCCTGACCCAGCAGAGAGGCCTGAGCTCAGCCTTTGGACACACTCCCCCCCTGATCCAGCCATCCCCAACGTTCCCCCCACGGCAGCACATGGCGGTCATCTCTGTCAACCCACCGCCAGCACAGATCAGCAGCAACAGCAACTGCATCTCTGACTCCAGCCAGGTAGGGATGACCATCCTGGTTCTTTCCATGAGTGGCACGCAGGGAAATGGAGACATGTTCTCCATGGGATGAGTCCTGCCCTTCATGGTGGCTGTGACAATTTACCCACTTTCTTTTTACTTATGCTCTCCCTCTATGTCACTTTTTCTTCCTCCTGGCAAGGCATTTCTGGCACAGCCAAATTTTGTGCCCACCTCCCTTTCTTGCACACAGGTGTACTTACTCATGCAGGAACCAAAGGCCTTGATCCATCCAAGCACTGAACACGATATGCAGGGTCATCGCAGGCAGCAAGCCTCCTTGAATACGTGTTATGTGTTATTGAAATCGAGGGAATTCAGCTCATGCTGGAGTGTTTTGCCAGATAAACACCCGAGCACTGTAAACCAGGCTTCATCAGTTCCTTCACCAATCCCTCCTTACTTTTTTTCTGCTGATGTGAACCATGCTGATGGTCTTAAAACACCTTATTCCTTTTTTTTTTAACAAATAAACACAACCTACCTAGGACCTCTAGCCATTTTACTTCTTGTTCATTCTTCTTCAGTAGCGTTCTCTCTCTGGGTATCCCTGCTGTTGATTTTTACTGTTAAGGTTTGCAAAACTAGGGGCCAGATTTTGAAAACTAGGACTGCCGTGATGTGTATAAATCCCACATCTCAAAGGTGTCCTTGCAAATACCTGTGAGTTCACCCAGGCACATGCATGTGTGCACAAGCCGTCCCCGCACACAGGTTTAGCGAATATGTCTAGCACATTTTTAATCATTTTTCCTTCCCATTTTCATTCCTGGGAAGTTTAAATTGCAGTGGCTTTTCTCCCCAAAGACTTATTTCACCTCATTTCACACCCATTTCAAATTGTTGTTTTAGTTGTATCATACTGAACTTTCAGACTGGTTTATTGTTTTAGGGTTTCTCATGGCTGCTGCGCTGCAAGCTCTGTTTGTTATTGAAGGTTATTTGATTGATTGGTTTTGTTTTCTTCTCACAAACTGGCTACCAAAATAATGTGGCTGGCAGGAGTTTTGCCTCTGTTTAATAACTTGCAGGACCAATCTTGAGCAATTAGCAAGAGTGTATTTAAAATGTTCATGTTCCAATTTTATGCACATACAATGGGATGTTTTTTCTCCTGAAGTTGTTCTCATTTTTTAAGAGCTTAGCAAAATATACACATAGCCTTTCATGCACCCAGCACGCCGGAGCCCTCGCATGTAACCAGAGCCCCCTGCTCACCCTAGGAATTCATTTTCTCAACAAATCATGTCGTCACATTGAGAAATAAATTTGTAGCTTGGGTGGGGGTTGCATAAGGTTTTGATGGCTTTGACAGGGACTGGATTGCTCTGACACAGAGCAGCAGCGGCAAGGCCAAGCTCACTGGTGAGCCTGCAGAAGCTGATACTGTCCTTGATTCTTCCCTTTTTTGCATCTCTCTGCCTTGCACAAGCCCACACAGCAATTACAGCCAGCAGGCCAATACCCCTTCGTCCCCAGGCACTCCTGAAGTTCCACCTTGACTGGTTTTTTAGTTAACTTTTAATGAAGAGACGAGCTGCATTCTGTCTCTCATCCCAAATGCCGGTGCCATATCTTGCCTGGTTTTCTTTCCTAGAACAAGCAGAGCAGCGAGTCGGCCGTGAGCAGCACAGTCAATCCCGTAATTAACAAGCGCAGCAAAGTCAAGACTGAAGTCGAGGGCTTGCCCCCAGCCTCCCCCACCACACAGGTAACCTTCTTGGTGTGAGATATATTGCAGGGCTGAGGCAGCGAGCTGCTGGGTCTTGGTTTGGGGAACGATACTCTTGGCACCTTTTGCTGCAGCTGGGAGCAAGGCATCAAAGTCTGCCAGGCAGCGGGTGTCTCTTGGAGCACGAAGCTCAACAAGGTACAGGGCAGAGCTGCAGTGACTGAGTGAAGCGTTCAATGGGTGCTTGGGATTCTGTTTGCTGTTGCTGTGCTTGGATAGAAAAAAAAAAAAAGGAGGGAGGGAATATTTCAGGCATGATAACTTTAAAAATGATGTCTGAGTTTTCTGTGGTGCAAAGGAAGCAGCATTAGTGCCTCAGAGCAAACATAGATTATGAGGGAATCTTGCATGTAGGTAGAAAGCTTGCAAAAAAAGGACGACTTCTTGATTCAGCAAGGAATTGCTCCTAGAAACATCCTTTACACTGGTGACACAACATTTGACACCAAGAAGGGCCCAAAGGCCTTTGCTTTCTTTCTGGAGCTCTGTGATTGCAAACTGTTTAATGGCTGACAGTATCCATCTGACCGTCCTTTATCACAACTGTAAACTATCAGGAGTGCTCTGGGCACTTCATTTTCATGAAATATTAGGCCGTGTTATTGTCAAGCAAATGGAAGAGTTGATGACAAATTTCTCCTTCTGCCCTGGTTCAGGAGCAGGTCTCAGCATGATGCATGGGGACAGCAACGTGTGCAGTCATCAGGGGGCTGGTAAAATTGATGAAGATAGCATATCAGGGAAAGATAAACATGCTGTAGTCAGCACGATTAGGGCAAAGAGGCATCTCTCTGGAGCTTTGAGTTTAGGAGTGCATCTACATGCTGCTGCAAAAGCACATGCCCCTAAAAACCAATCTGGCCACCACCCAGGCTAATAGGGCCACGTGTTTTCTTGAAGCAAATGAAAAAAGATCTGAAAGCCATCTCCTGCTTTCTCAAGCATCTGTAGCAGAGGAGCTGTGGGACAGATAGCTGCTTGCTCGATGGCTGTCATCCTCTCTTGTCTGCTCTGATTTGAAGAGGTGTGCACCCAACTGCAGGTAGTGCTGGGGTAGCATTAGCCTGGCTCAACCCTGCAGCCCTGCCCCAGAGCTTCATCCGCTGAGCCTTATGTGAAATAAGCACTGAAAGAAGGGGGAGAATCGTTTAAAGTGGTGCAAGGAGGCTTGATTAGAACAGCGAGGTGAAATTAAGAGAAGGAAAATGCACGCTGGTTGTCTAATAATTCCTAATGAGGAGACCTGTGGAGTCATACCCCAAGGGAAAAGTAGGCTACATGTCTTGCAGCATTTCAGTATTGACTGGGAAATTACTGGAAAGTACCTTGTAAGAGACATTCTTGGCAAGGAGAACAGGTTAAAAGACTGAACACAGTGGGTGTCTCCTCTTCAGTTGGTCTAAGTGACAGCAACTTGTTAAATTTGGGGATTCCTGTTCTGCAGGAGACTGTGCTGAAAAGTTGAGTTACTGTTAGTTAATTATTGACTGATACATTTTTTTGCAGAGTATGAAGCTCAGACATCCCAAAAAAAGCATGCATGTGTGTGTTTTGTTTTGGAAATGCTGTACTGGAAACGCCTCATGTGAGTTGTGGTTTGGGTGTTTAAAATCCTTGGCCAGACAGTATCTCCCATGATGGCTCGTGCTATAAAAAATGCAATCCAGGCAAGATTTGTGGGACACAGTAGAGCGCCCGGCATGAGGGACCTGAGTGACTGTGCTCTGGTGATACCACAATAGCTCCAGCACAGATTCAGATTAATGTTGAATAGCCAGAAATAAAACAAGTTACTCCTCTTCAACAAATTAAAATGCTTTCAATTCCATTTTTCCAACAGAAGGTATAAAAATTTTGGCAAAATAAGATTTTTAGTAGAAAATTTCACTTTTCCAGAGACCATGCTTTGCACAGAGAGAAACATCTCAACAAAAATGATGTTCACAGCTCAACCAAATAGGAATTGCAGGAAAAAGAAGCTGCTGTTTGAACTTTCTCAGCCTATTTCTCTGGGTTCTGATACAGTTTGAATCTCCAGAAGTCTTTCTGTAAATGACTACAGTTTCCTGTCCCAAGAGCCACCTTACGATACTTTTTTTAAAAAAAAATTAAGAGCTAATTAAAACAAATCTCTTCCTCTCCGTATCTAAACTTTTGAATTGAAAAGTCACAGCTGGCGTGTATGTCATGAGCTAGTTAATGAAAATTGTTGAACTCGCCTACAGTACATGTCGCTTCCCAAGCTTTATAATGCCATTAAGTCATTAATCATTGCAGCCCTTCGGTAGGCATTAGGAAGGTGTCGGTGGGGAAGGAGATGGCAGACAGATAGGTCCATTTGGGCAGGTCAGAGGCAGTTTGAGATGGGTCTGGCTGTGCCTGCACACTTATGGGGCCAGCTGGAGCATCAGATCATGAGGAACAGCATCTGATGTGGTCAGTCACCCCAGATGCTCCTGTCTAAAGCTGCCCTGGAGGCAGGATGCTCTGTGCTGGGCAGTAGTAGTAACTGGGAGGAAAGGGAAGAAAGGGGGTGAAAACATGCAGGGTTTTGTATTGCTAAATTCCTGAGCCAATATTGGCTGCTATTGGCCTTGTCTCTAGTACAAGTGTCTGACACGCACAGAGGCGACAGTTGTCCTTACCTCTGGGTTGTACTAATTATGTTGTATGTTACAGTATTGTGTAGTTTTCGATGCTTTAATCCTCAGAGCAGCCATAAAAAAGATCTTCTGTGCTTCGTTTAGCCCTGAGAAGCTAGCTAGACAGAGAAGTTAAGGAGAGAGCTCACAGCATTCCCGGCATTAAACTAACTCATTTATGAGTCTAGAGCCCCCGGAGCTCTGCTCTGCAACTCACTCATCATAGGGTCTTACTCAAGCTTCCCAAATTTGCCAGTCTCAGAGGAGTGTTTTGGGGGCTCATCACTTTGTCCCTGTGGAGCACCCTGCAGGCATAAATCTTTGTGTGAGAGTTAGACATAATTTTCTCATCTATTGAAAGATGTAGCAAACAAGAAGCCCCCTCCCCAACCCATGTCAGGTGAGTGTAGTAACCACTAGGCTCTGGCTGCTCTGTCGTTGTTCATGCTTGTATTTCCCCACTCCCCCCAGATCAGAAGTTTTGCTCCAGCAAAGGATGAAACCAAAGGTCAAAAGCCAGCCTCTTCCTTTCTTCAGCCTTTCCTGGGACTGCCCACGGCCTGGCTGGAGCCAGCCACCGCTGCAACCGTGGCTTCAGGGTGTTTTGTGTCTTGTCATTAACTGTCATCGATTTCTACCAAAACCCTGTAACTCATTATTTCACAGTAATCAAGGATGTTCTGTTGCCACAATGTGCATGGTTCTGTGATCAGTTGATACCTGCCCTGTAATCTATGAGTGACGGAGGAATTCAGATGAAAGAAGTTCACTTTATACAATGCACCGTTGTGTGTTGCAGGAGCATCTGACAGACCTGAAAGAAGATCTAGATAAGGATGAATGTAAACAGGAGCCTGAGGTTATTTATGAGACGAACTGTCACTGGGAAGGGTGCACAAAGGAATATGACACTCAAGAGCAGCTCGTCCATGTGAGTAATGGTTGGGAGGAAACCCCAGCGATAAATTTGTATTTCTGTGCACTTGTCCTCATTTTTTATCACTAGCTGCTGTACAGCCAGAGCTCGCTCTGGGAGCTACTAAAGGTGCAAATCAGAGATACGGTGTGTAAACACTGCCAAAGCAGGTCGCTGCTCCCTGAGGAGTTCAGCTGCAGGAAGCCTCTCACAGATTATTTGATGTTGCTCTCTTCTCAGCTGCTGAGGCTGCAGTTTCAGTCTCCCTCGTGCATGACCCAGTGACAGAAGGCTCCGTGCAAAGGACCTGATCAGAAAATGGGGAAGGGGGCTGAGCCCTTCCCTCCTCCCTGGCCATATTCACTGAGCCTCCCCATCCACCTACACCAGTTATGGGTCAGGGATCGTCCATACTCACCCTTGTCCAGGCCATGAAAGCCTTTTATGCCGCTGTGGCATGAGCTGTGGGGCCATATCACTTAGGGGCTGTTGACCTGCTCAGCTCATCCCTCCGACAAAAATAGAGCACTTCCAGAGTTTGGAGACATGCTCCAGCATCTCCACTGGGGCCTGAAATAGAGAAAGTGGGTTGATTTTTTAAAAATTGGGAAATAGGGCTTCCGTAATCACAGGGATATCCCCAAACCAGTGTCAAAACTGCTCTCTGAAGGATCCCCAAACCCAGTCATTAATCAGATTTTCAGTTCTAATTAATTCGAAGAACCTTTTGTGTGCTTTGCTTCACCTGGGAACCCGCTGTTCGGCTTCCTTTGGCTTCTGGGGTCAACAAATCCCTCAAATTTGGAGCGAGTCCCTGTGAAATCAGACATGATCTGTGTCTGAGCCCTACCCTGCTCCCAGTCTAGCACCTCCCAGTCCTCATTTTGGGTCTGTGGTGTGAGAACCCTGTTTGTTTGAAGCCAGCCCAGAGCTGCTGGGAATTCACCAACCCCAGAAACCCTGTTGCTTGTAGCAAAATGTTGGATTGAGTGAATTTTGTGACAGTAGCCACTATCCTCTCCTTTCCCTTCAGCCTTTTGCTGCTTGCCTCAGCCTGGCTCCAGGCCTGCCAGGGGCCACCCGTGTGCGATTCATGTGTAGCTCTCTTTCTGAGGGTGCGTGTCATCCTTTTTTATACATCTTCAATTTAGTCGTGTTTAGATGCCACCAAGTAGGCATCAGTCTCTGTTTCCCCAAACGCTGCACACAACGTTATCTTAGCCCAGAGGGACCACACTCTAAATGATAATTTTGGGCATGTGCTCTTCTTCCATCTAAGGCTGGCACCTGCCCGTCTCTGCCAGAAGTCACTGGTTCAGTGCAACAAGTTCTTGAGTACAGACAGATTTGGAAATGGTTTTCAGGGCCAAATGAGTGATAAGGTGCTTAATGGGTTGCACGTTGCATGCCACGGGGCGTTGCTGTTCTGGGGTTAAATCAGCAGCCCTGTTGGATAGTCTGGGCCCACATTTGTCCAGCAGTATTTGTACGTTTCCCTCTCAGACATAAGAAAAACTCTTTAACTCTGCCCAGAGCAAAGTGCAGAGCAGATCCAGGCAGCTCAGCACAATTTATTTCTAGAGAAAACCCAAAGAAAAATATTTGACAGAATGTCCAACATTTTCCTAAATTTGGAAGGTTATAAAAACGGAGGCTTCTGTACTCTGATTACTAGCAAAATGGGGTTGTGGATTTGGGATGCCCAAAACACACATGCAAATGAAATACAGATGTCGTGGGCCAACTTTTGAGAAGGTGGCATCCCACCATGCATGGAAAAACTCTGGTTTGTGTGCAGAGCAAAGTACCTGGGAGTGCAGGGTCCGTTCTCCACACACACAGTGGGTAATGAGCTTGTGGGAGAAGTGCCTGTCAACAGGGAGCATCAGGAGTGAGGACATGTTTTTGCAAGTACCACTGCTGCTCCCAGCCTCAAAGGTCACACTCACGATTTGAGAGAAGTCCAGGCGCAAAGCCTCCAGCCAGGTTGGGGTTTGATGGGGGCTATGGAGCTGTAGCTGAAGTGTGGTGAGTTGTGCAACTGCTCCTCCACCATGTGATGAGTAGCAGATGTTGCCCAGACAGTGAGTTAATAAGCCTGAAGGGGGGGATTACAGTCCCCCTCCCATAAATGTGTCTTCTTCTGGCCCAAGCAGGACCGAATGGGCAAGCCAATGCACTCCCCCACTCCTAGCAGTGCCGTGAGTAGTCTTGGTTGCAAGTCAGAGTCCCACACAAACAGAGCCAGGAGATGTATCTTCCCAGTCTGGTCTGGATGTGGTTTAATGTGCCCATGGGTCTTCTTGGGGGTTCATCAGATTTCCACCATCTGAGGCTAAAATCCCACACCAATGCCATGTTATAAAACTAGAACCGTAGGCAGCTGAGCTGCAAATGAGTTTCCATCTGAAATCTCTCTCCCAAACCCAGCCTCCCCTGACCCTCCCGGCACACAGCTTTGGCTTTCAGTGTTTACCCATGGTGCCCAAGGGACCAGCTGAACTCTGTGCACCTCCTCTTGCTCCTGGGTAGACCTGGTGCCCCAAGCAGCAGATCCCTGTCCCCAGGACTGGAATGCATCACACAAAATACCAGGGCTGGATTCAGCTGGGACCGTGAAGGCCAATGACTCTGTTTTAACATGTTTTTGTGGCCTCGTGCTGCCCTGCCATCCTGAGAAAGTCTCATCCCAAGCTGTAACATGTGTGCCTGCCCTTGGGTGGGGGGATGAAGGCGGGGGCTAGAAAAAAATCTCAGTGCAAAAAAAACAAAACCCAAACCCAAAGAGGTTTATTTTAGGATTTCCTGTCAGTGAACGTCTGCTGAAAACACAGGAGTGAGGACAGGCATTATTTTTGGCAGCGAGACCCCATTCAGAGAGACAAGGCTGCTGCAGGAACAGCGCTGCCGACGGGCTGGTCTCCGGCTCTGTTTATTTTCGGCAGGGTTTCATCTGCCCAAGGCTGGGAAAAAGCGACCCTTTTCTTCCTCCCAGGGTGGATGAAGGCACCATTCTGGGTCTGGCTTTTCAACATCCCAGCGCAGGATTTTATGGACCCGAGTAATTAGCAGTAATTGAGGCCGCAGAGCTTTCCTTGGCGCATAGCTCGCAGATGCTGTCATTTCCTGCCAGCCGCCAGCACGGGACAGCAGGTGGATGTCTTAGGGCCAGCGTATGGCCTGGCATGCAAGCTTAGGGTCATAGACTCATAGAATCATTTAGGTTGGAAAAGACCTTTAAGATCATTGAGTCCAACCGAGGCTTGTGTCACCCTCCCCAACAGTGGCATCAGGCAGCCTGGGGGACACTGAGAGGGCTTCTCTCTCCCTGGCACCATGGGTCCTCGTTGCTTTTGCAAACCTCCTGTTTATAGCTGCTTTGGACCCGGTGTGCTGGGTGCTGGGCACCTTCTGCAGGACACGCCAGATGGCAGAGCTGGCTCCCATGACCCGGTGTTATCTGTGCACCTGGGACCCAGGTGCAATGCCTGACCACAAGCTCTGGGGAGGGAACGGCTGGCTTTCGGAGCACCGCGTGTGCTTCGCTGGCATCAGCTCTTCTAAGAGTGACCTGCTTCTCCCTTCTCTCCTACCAGCACATCAACAACGATCACATCCACGGGGAGAAGAAGGAGTTTGTCTGCCGCTGGCAGGACTGCACGCGGGAGCAGAAGCCCTTCAAGGCTCAGTACATGTTGGTGGTGCACATGCGAAGACACACAGGAGAGAAGCCACACAAGTGCACGGTGAGCTGGCAGGGACACAGGGTGCATCTCAGCTTGGCAAGTGGGACACTGGGCTTTGATGGTCACACGAATGTGTGTGCAGACACAGGCATGGCTCCAGGCACGGCTCTCCCAGGGTACCTGTTGGCACCCAGCTTGGGGCCAGCCCAGCTCTCTGTGTCCTGGTTATAGGTACTTGCAGGTTACACCCTGGGAAGAGGGCAAGCAGTCAAGGAGGGTGGTTGAGGTGTTAGTGGGCAAAATTGTATTTCCTCGGGGAAAATGGGTTTAGCTCTACCAAAGAGATTCAGAGTGACTCAGCACAAGTCACTTAAGGTGGAAAGCCGGCCAATTTAGTTGCCTACCTCCAAGAAGGCAATCCAGTAATCCCACACTGTGGGGAACCAGCTAACCCTGTTCGTGGCTATCTTGGCTGCTGGAGCTGTGAGTTTCCCCCACCCACGTACCTGAGCGTGCACCTAAGGCTCCTTCCAACCTGGGGATCTGAGCCAACACCTCCTGCCTCTGCTCTCTTAATCCAGAGGTGCAGGCAATCCCTGGGTGCTTAAACCCCAAGAGGAGCTCAGTCCCCAGACTGTCTGCATGCAGGCAGCACTGTGCCTAGTGTTAAACGCTGCCTGAGGAAGAGCATGGGGTGCTGTTTTGTATCTCAGCCCTGTGGGTACAGACTCATCTAGAACCTTGGAGAGCTGGCCTCGCCTCCTCCTCAGCCTTGAGATATTAAAGCCCATATCTGCCCTCACACATGGAGTCTCCCACCGCACCGCTGGCTGATGTGGGGCAGCGCAGGATGCCTGACAGGGGGCACAAGAGAGAAGCGAGCTGTGGAGTTTAGTGGCTGTGGCCAACTGGTAGGAGAGAAGAGGTGTTCACCATCTCTTTCCACATATGCTTCAGCCCTTTTTCCTCCCAAAGGTCCATCCCTGCTTTTTGATATCCTCTGCTCCCTGCCTTCTCCTCCTGCCAGTTTTTCATACCTCCTCCACTGTCAGCATCACGCCGTTCCTCTCCCCAGAGTCTTGGGGATGAGTCTCTCTCTGCTTGGCAGATGTCTGAGCCCTCCTCCCATATCTTCCTCCTCTTCTGCTCCATTAGTTACTTCCAGCCCTGCTCCCTCCCTGGCTCTGCCCCAGCTTCTCCTTACAAATATTAGGATATGTATGATTTGCTTGCTGCATTACTCCTTTATCAATCATCCAGCCCTGTGTTCATTTAATTTAGAGCATAAGTTCCCCGGGGCACAGGGCCATGTCCTTTGTTTTAATCTTCTAAAGCACTTTGCCCAGTTCTAGTGCTTTACCGATCTTTCTTAAAAGTATCGAAGAATATTGATCGTTGGGCTGCTGCAAAGTGAGCAGTAAGGGAAAGTCTAGCCCTTGCAGGTAGAAGGACTCAGAAGACAAAAAGCGGCAGGGACTGCATCCTCCTCAATGCTGTAATGGAGCAGGAAAAAGTACCGCTGCGTAATCCTGCCTCTTTCAAGCCTCGGTTGTGTCGCACTGGAGCAATGGCAAGGCTGTGTGTGTTTGAGTCTCAGGTCATCCTCTGCCTCCTGGAGAACTGCAGTCCCTCCATGTGTAATATGTTGCAGCAGCCCTCCCTGAACTGGACTACCAGTGGTTTCCAACTGCCTGGGATACATGGCAGCTCTGCAGACGGTGCCCTTCTGTTGCAGTGTAGTCCTTGTCCAAGTCTGGAAGTGATTTTTCAAAGCGCCATTTGTTTCAGACAAGAAGTTTGTGGTGTACATAAAGCTACAGATGAACCCAACTGCAGCCCGGGATTCGGTCAAGGATTATTTCAACAGATGACAGCCAGAACTCCCACTGACATAATCAAATCCACGCATAAGAGTGGGAACAACTGCTTTGAACATGCACAGGCTGCTTTGCTGAGAAGCTCTTATTTGAAAATGTGGCCTCAGTACTTTTGCTCTTAACTGCATTTTTGTGTCAGTATCCAGTAAAACCAGAATGGATGCATGAGCTGCCTCATACCGAGTTCCGTTTGTTTTCCAGCAAGGGGAACGATGTGTTCCAATGACCATAAGAAACATGAGTTGTAAAGGACTGTTTGCACAGGGCAAGAGAAGAAAGGCATATACTGTGCTACCTCAAAGCTGTGGCATGTTCTATGGGCCAAATGGACTAATGAAAGTTGTCTGAGGAAGGGGAATTGGATCCATCCCACCCCAACAAAGCTGTGGAAGGAATCGGCTCTTGCAGGATGCTCCTACTGTCCTTGAAGAGATCTGGATATCTCAAGAGAGCAGAGCAGGTTTGCCTTATGTCCGCCACCCCTATGCTAGACCTTAAAGGGAAGCTTAGGTAACCCTACCTCTTTTCCAGCACAATAAAGTCATATGGGATCAACCTGTGCCTCCATGCTTCATGGGTTTCATGGGCTCCATGTTTTGCCTCACTCCTTAGCAGTGCAGGTGAGCCCTATGCCCATGGAGCACAAGGAGACAGGTACCGCTGTTACTGCGTGCAGCTGCCTTTGGCCTCTGCCCAAAAGAACCAGATCTCTGGACATGTGGGACCACTCAGCTGCCCACAGGGAAATCAAACACTGTGCCATTGCATGGCCTGTCCTCCGTGACACCAGTTTCTTCACTGGCCAAGACTCAAACATAGCAATGTGAAGTCCTGTCACATCTGGACTGAACTTGTAGAAGTATTTAAGTGATCCAACCAAAACACAACACCTTGTGGCTTGCACACATTACAACAGGAGGGGCTGCTTGTTGAAATGTAAAGTGTGTTTTAAGGTGCTTGCGTAGGAAGCGCAGCATGGGCTTTTCAACGCTCCCAGCTCAACAACGAGTGCGGCATTTAGCTAGAATTTGGAAGGGAGCCTTGCATTTCTTAAAACCTCCTCCAGTGTTTGTAAGTTCCCACTTGTTTTGTCAAAGAGTATGTAAGACGGCGTCCTTCATTTGAGGTGAAATCCTCCCTTGCTGCAGACAGGGCAGGTGCAGGGAGAAGCCTCCAGCCCAGCCGGAGCAGAGGGTGGCAGGACTTACATCACCCGAAGCCTCATCACGTCTCCCAAGCTGCTCCTTCTCGTTGTGTGGGCAGCTGGTTTCCTTCCAAGAGGAAGGTTCCTGGCCTGTTTTGTCATCCAAAAATCCATCTGTCTTCAAGATTGAGAGTCTTGTTTTTTAAACTGGTAATGTCAGACGGCCTGACCACAGCATCCTCCGAGAGTAGGGCCAAGCTGTAATTTAGGAAACTTCAAAGTTTGCTGGATTTCTGCTTGTGTGTTAGAGAATGGTCCGGCCTTCCCAGTGCTGGTGGTAGTGAAGTTGCAAGGCTGGTCAAACTGTCAAGAAGCCGTCAGTTCTCTGGGTGGGAAGGAGAGGGCCTCCATTTCTGAGTGTGTTAGCTGCAGAGGGATGGCAGGAGGGGCTAAGGGAGCCCTGGGAGGAGTGGAGGGGTGTTCAACCCTGATAGAAAAAAGAGTCTCTTGTTGAAATGTCAGGTGGGTACCCAACAAGGAGCAGCACCTTAAATATGACTCACTGCTGAAACTCTCAGCCTGCCTAGGGAAGCGAATTCTCCCAACAAAGTGGATGTTGTTCCCTAAAACACAAGCCCTTTAAATGGAAGAAAAAAAGAAAGAATGAGAAACAGATGAGAAGGGTTTAGGCAGGGGGAAAATCAAATTTTTCTGGTTAATTAATCACTCCTCTTGTGTTTTTTTATTTTAGTTTGAGGGTTGCTCCAAAGCCTATTCCCGCCTGGAGAACTTAAAGACACACCTGAGGTCCCACACTGGAGAAAAACCCTATGTCTGTGAACACGAAGGTTGCAATAAAGCCTTTTCCAATGCCTCGGACAGAGCCAAGCACCAGAACAGGACACATTCCAATGAGGTAAGCTTCGGCTCACCGCAGCTCAACAGAGGGCTTTTTTTTTTAATTTTGCTGACAATAAAAATACACTTTACACACTGGACTCATGTAAAAAGAAACCCACTGTAATGAGAGGTTTTTCTTATTTTTTAATGGGATTTATTTTGCTGGAGAGCCAGACCACATTAGCTTTGTATTTATGAAAGCCATGTTTGAAATCATAAACAGATGTTAAAGTATGCAAACTTTTTAATCGGCTTTGAAATTAAAGCAAGCATTTTCCAAATTTATAATTTTTAATAGAGCAAATAGGATTGTACAGTTGTGCATGTGGTGTTTAATATTACTGTGGAGCAGACTTGCAGTAGTATTACAGCTACCCTGGATCCTGACACTCTGGAAATAATACTCCCTCCATCTTTTGATGTACAATGATAGAGCACAATGCAATGCTTTGTTAACCTTGGCTAATTAAGACCCACTATTAGTAGTTGGGGAGCAGAGGAAATTGCCTTTATTGTAACGCATGTGATGGTCTGTTGCAATCAACCACGGCCGACGATTGAAATTTATATTACCGCTAATTAGCTGACAGGGGAAGAAAAAACAACACTCCAAAGTTCTAATAGTGTTTGCAGCCATGAAGAATTCAGTCTGTAGCCTAATTTGCAACAGTTAAATATAGACCATTGGAGAATGGAACACGATTGCCACGGATGACAGCTTTTTAAAGAGATGCTGTGTCTACAAAGGGCTTGTTGGGAGTATTTCTATCTCTGGCATAATATCAGTCAGTGATAACCAAAGCTCTGTAGTTTTCAGAGATTCAGTTGGAGTCAGAATAAGGGCTCAAAGTCTAGAATGCCCTTCCATGCTGAGAGGGACCCAATGAATGACCTGGATTCCAGTGTTATTTGAATTGGTTTAGGTATGAACACAAACATCAGGATTGTCCTTCACCAGTGAGCCACTTTCCCAGCAGGACACGGGTTAAAATTAACCCATATCTGCACCGGCACTGGGTAGTTTGGGGTTGGTTTACACTGACCTTGAGGCCAGGAGGCACCAACAAGACATGCAACCTCTTGTATGCTCAGCACTCTGCATTCCCTGTAACTGATGTTTGACTAAAACATCATTTGTTCTTTTAAAGCTTCTTCCCCTGAAATGTAGGCAGTCATGATTTAATCTCACATTTCAGGTATTAGAAATTGCTTGTTTTCCAGCCCTGAATGCTTTCTCTGCCTTCCTCCAGTGCTGGATCCAATGTCCCTTTCATTGTTGCTATTTCCACCTCTGAACACTACAGTGTTAAGTCACTCTCCACCTTCTTTCTCATAAGCTAAATAAGTCAGTCAAGCCACTGAAGATTCCCTTTATTGCAGCTTTTTTTCCTGTCCTTAAACCAATTTTGCATCTCTCTTCCATCCCTAAGCATTCTCATGTGGATGGATCAAGACTGCTTTCACTGCTGGATACAAACTCACTCTGCCCAGTTTGCACACACTGAAGCAGTACGTGAGCTACTTTTTACCCATAGATCACTTGAGCTCAGATCACTGGAGCTTTTCCAGGATAATCCCTAGGCAGGCCAGAGTTTCCCTTCTGTTGGGCCAGCTGGTGTCCCATGTTCCTACATGTGGAATTTTGTCTTTGACTCTATTATTAAATGTCATTTCTTTGATGGATTTGGTTTCTCAAGTGATCCAGATCAGAAGCTGCACTGGATCTGGGATGACCCCTCACTTTGTCTGAGCAGATATTGGACACATTTTGAAGGTCTGCTCCTTTCAGTTCCCACTGTGCAAGAAGGGATCATCCAACTCATTGTCTGTGGTGGACACTGATCTAATATGCTGACACTTGGTACACGCTGCATCCAACAACACAAATTAAAGACTCAGATAACAGATGGGGATTTTATTGTCTGCTGTTGCTTCCCCTGGAGGATGCCAAAGCCTTCTCAGGTGCAGAAGCGGCATAGCCACTAGCAGAGGATTTGTACCAGACCAGCTGAGCCTTACCACTGGAACTACATGGCACCGCATGATCTGACATTTTGCCATCATGCTCACTTCTGAACTGCTGTTCAAACCGCCTTCTTGCAACACAGGCATGCCCCAAGACTTGTGGGAGATCTGTAGGCTGCATATATTGGCACTCTGGCCCATATATTTGACACCCTCTTTTTGAGGACCGTATCACATGATCCTTTACAACAGATGACATCCCTCACAGCAAAGCTCATTGCATTGGGCAGCAGGCCCAGGTGAGGGTCCTGCAACCAGCTGTGGTCATGACCAGTAGGTTAGCAAGCTGCAGCGAGACCTTGGCTCACAAAACCACATGGATGCAAAGCAGGAGTTTGTGGCTGTTAATATTTCCTGTTACCCATTGGTAACTCTATTGTGGTTCCTAGCTACCTACTAAATATTTTCCTCTGCTTGCAGTGTTTACCTGGGGTACACCACAGTTTCAGAGTTAGTCATCTGTGTCTCCTCTAAGGGGGAAGTTCCAGGTTCCCCGTATTTGTCTCTGTCGTCGTGTGACAGGACGTAGGTGTATGGTCCAAACATGCCAAAGTTCAAGGCTGCAGATATATTACCACACTGGCTTTTGTTTGATTGTTGAAATGTCACATGCACTGTTTCATTTTAAACTTTCAGCGAGTATTTGAATCCCTTCAGGGGATACCTTCAAAGTTGCTCCTGGAAAAAGAGCTTCCATCCCTTCACCACTCTCCAGTGCATACGTGTAAGAGTGGCATGAGTTCATGGCCAGCCAAAGGCTTAGAGTGACATTTTCTCCCATTCAAGCTAAACAAGGGTAAAATGCAGAAATTCAGTCCTGCTGAGTGCCTCGGACTTGGCCAGTTCTCCCACCCTAAGGAGTACCATGCTCTACATGTATGGGAGTAGGAGGGAGGCATCTGAGGTATCTAAATTGTTGACTTCACTAGGGCATACACGGCATTAGATGTCAGAACCTGCATAACCCAGGGGATATACGAAGGCATACCAACAAAACAGCAGTTGTGCTCAGTTCAGCTGCAGGAGGTACGGCCTGATGAAGAGGAAGGTTGTACCCCGTTAGGTGGAGTGTCTGCTGTCCAAGCAACAGTGATTGTGTCACCCTAATTGCTGGTGTCTAAACAATCAGAACTGTTAGGCCTAAAGGATCTTTATAAAAAAACCTTGACCTGTTTTATGTAGGGTTTTTTTAGCATGTGTGGTGGGGGTTCTGTTCTTTAGAATAGGTTTTAATAGCAGCAATACTATTTCTATAATGCTTGGTCCAAAAGGGTGCATGAGATTTATAAACAAACTATTTTACTTTTTGTGCTTTGGTTTACCCAGCTTTAAAATATATTAAATATTTACCTCAGTGGGGTGTTACAAGGATTTAGTTTGTTCAAGTGATGTGCCAAGATCAGTCAGGAAGCATGCTTTGAATAAAAAACAGATTTTCAGTGTTTTTCATGTGATGATGCTGGCTTTCTGCAAAGAATATATATACTCCTTTGTATTTTTTTCATTTAAGCTTCTGGATGAAATTACAAAACAGATTAAAAAAAAGAATAGGAATGGTCATTTTGGGTAGCCTTCAAACAACATCTGTCTGGTTTCTTTCATGGATCTGTCCTAGTGCGTCAACAGAAAAATACTTAGAGTAGCTGTGAGCTGAAAGCAAAACCTGTGATGAATTCAGAGCTTCCAGCGCAGCAGCACCAGCTCAAACAACTGCAGCGCTAATACACTTTGGAATTGGAAACTCAATAAAAAAAAGTTAAAAGAAGAAAAGTATCTGTTTGCTGACTTCTGTTTTCAGAAGCATGGCTTCAGCCTTGTTTTCCTGTGGCAATCAATGATTCATGAATTCGGGACTAGAGTGCTATCGTCTGAAAAAAACATTGCATGCCTGTGGTTTGTTTTGCACAATAACAGATTTCAGGGTGACAGGTGCTGGAGTGGTATGATAGATTGGGTAGGGTGAATCCAGTCTGGCTTGGTTTTGCTGGAATTCAGTCGGCCAGAAGGTCTCAAACATTTTCTCGGTGTAGACCCCACCTTAGCAGAGAGAATGTCCATTTCCTTACATCACCTCCCTCCCATCCATAATCAGGAAACATTCCTGTGGCCACCCGAGCAAATACATACATGAGAAAGTAATATTAGGAAAGTATTTAATGAATTCTTAGCTGTCTTTTAATCCAGAAACTGCAAACAAGGAGGTTAGCCAACATCAAATGACTGGCCAGGTCTGTGTGGATCAGCAGCAGCCCATATATCACATCTTAGAGATCTCAGTCTTACAGAATCCTGAGGAGCAGATGCTCCACATTTTGTTGCTGCCAGCTGCTACGCTCATTGTATTTTCTTGGCCCATACGCTGTACCTGGAATATTTGGGCTTGTTCTAAACATAACCCAAGATTTGCTTGTATTGACAGAAACCCTACGTCTGTAAAATCCCTGGCTGCACGAAGCGGTACACAGACCCTAGTTCCCTCAGGAAGCACGTCAAGACTGTGCACGGGCCTGATGCCCATGTCACAAAGAAGCAGCGCAACGATGTGCACCCGAGGCCACCTCCGCTCAAGGAAAATGGTGACAATGAGGCAAGCGCCAAGCAGAGCAGCAAGGTTTCAGAGGAGGGCCCTGAGGCCAACAGCACCACGAGGAGCATGGAGGATTGCTTACAAGTCAAAACGATAAAAACGGAGAATTCTGTGGTAAGAGCAGTTGCTCTTGGCAGAAATGACGCGGTCCCTAATTTCTCAAACACAATGGCGGCGTGAAGCATTTGCATGCCATTTACCTCTCCAGGCAGTTGCCCTTCACTTACCAACACCCTAGAGTTCAAATCCAGAGATGAAACTGCAGGTCGGGTACAGTCCAGTACATTTTGCACCTTCCCACCCAGCATCACAAATTCCCGCCCTTGTAGTCATGGGGGCCACGTGATGCCCAGTGTTGAGCTTGGCCTCCCCGTGCTATGAGAGTGGGTAAAACTCAGAGTGTTGTGGTCAAATGAACTTTACCTACCTCACCAATTTAAAGTGAGCAGTGACCATAGGGCACAGATTGATGAACACTTCTTGAAGCAGAAGTCCTGGCTTAAGCAGTCCCTTTTCTCCTCCTCCCTGTACCCGTCACTGTTTTTCTTTCCAGGCTGCTGCTGCACAGCAGTTTTGCTGGCACAACTCTGTTGTGGGCTGCCTGATGAAGCCAGTGGGGATAAAAGTAACTGGTTTGGTTTTGCTGGGTATCTTAAAGCGAGTTCAATTCCTTGGTCCTGCCCACCATACACAGAAGCACAGAATTGCTGGGGTTGGCAGGGACCCCTTGAGATAGTCTGGTCCAACCTCCTTGCTCAGGCAAGGTCAGCTAGAGCAGATTGCTTAGGAGTACACAAGTTCAATACACAACTCCCAGCTGCCACAGAAAGTTGTAGTGGGACAATTGGGCAGGAGAGTGAAACCAGGAATAAGCATGGGAGCAATGCTGTGGCCCACAGAGTTACAGGCTTGCAGTCAACCGTGATCATGCTTCACGGCTCCATGATTGGCCCCCAGCTGAAGCAGAGACCATTTATCAGACTTTTGGCCATTACAGCAGCTCCACAGTAGGCAGTAGTGTGGTTGATGGTGCTACGAATATGTGTACAGTGATGGGTCCAAACACATTCAAGCCTCTTCCACCCCATGCGGGAGCCCACCTGCTCCTCAGCACACCACTGCTGGTGGAGGAGATGGAGCATTGCAACACACAGGTCACTTTTGCCTTTTGATGTTTCTCTTCACCTCTGTAGCCCAAGTTCTGGTCTGCTGCACCAGCTCAGAGTGTGGCAGGGTATGGGCTGGGTACAGCAGAAAAGACTTTCATCTGCAAAGGAGAGCGTTCACATAGCCCCCAGACTTCTCACTAGATCTGAAAGGACTTTGAGCTCCAAAATATATATTTTCTTGATTGGAATCCAGGCTAAAAGATTGTTATTCCTATGAAACAACATGCCCTAGAGCTACAAAGATTTTCTAAAAAAGGTTAAGGGATGTGTTGTTGGACAAATTACTAATGAGCAGTATGTTTCGGTTAGAAAGAAATTGAGTATTTTTGCATCCAAAGTGTCTCTAATTGACTAAGGTAACAGTTTTACTTTGAATACTCTGTATTGGCTTACAAAAAATGAGTGTGAGAACCACTGGACAGAATGACCTCTCTCTACTACTCTTCCTCTGTGTGTTTGGTTTTTTTTTTATGAAAACACAGACACAATCACAGCTCCCCACCCTTTTTCTCTCGAAGGTGTGGAGTTGTTTTCCTAGGGCTCTGCACTCCCAGGGTTGCAGCCAAGCCGCCTCTCTGGCGGCAGGGCCATGGGTCGGATGTTGTTCTCTGCTCCCGCCGTCCAGCCCTGCGTACCTCACTCGTGCACGTCGAACGGGCAGCATCTGACCTGGCAGGCCCACGTCCAACTCCTGTTTCCTGGTTAGGGTCAGGGTGGTGGGAGGGGTGAGATGCTACACTGGTTCCCCTCTGAGGCCCTTTGTTTTGAACCATCTTTGGGTCTCATCCCAAACCCAGGGAGATAGTTGGGAAGTCTCTCCTAGGGGTTTTTATCTGGGCCCCCCAAAAAAGGAAAGGCAGGGAAGGCGGGCTAGGGGAGAGGGGGAGGTGTTGGTAATTTGAGTTTTGTTCTGCACTCCCTTCTTCCTTTTACTAACATGGTCCTTTCTGTTAATGCTGTCTTTGTCCTAACAACCTGTTCTTTATTCCCACTTACCCTTCCTTACTCTACCTTCCTAAGGACAGTCGGTACTAAGGTGAGCAAAGAAATCCTTTGTATTAAAACAGCTGTATAAAGCATGGTCTCCTGCAGACCTCCTGTCTCCAGATAACCCCTGCAGGGTGGAGGAATGGGGAGGGACAGGGGATATTTGCTTGAGTGCAGAAAGGGGGAGGACACAGTGCCCAGGGATTCCCTTTGCAGCTTTCCTCCCAGCATCACAACTTGCCATTAAATCCTGGGACTGCAATTTCTACCACCCCAATTGAAGGGCAATGATGCCATCAGAGCCAGCCAGCCCTGCCTGTGGAGGCTGCTACAGAGCAACGTAAAACACTGCATCACCCCGCACTCCCACCTTGGCCTGGGGCAAAGTACGTTGCCTTTTCAGCACTCCCATTTTCTGACACTTGCAGCAGCATGGGCCTCCAGCAGAGAAGCCAAGCATCCTGTCTGGTAGCTGCAACAGCTACTTCAGAGCAAGTTCAGACCATTTAGTGTCTGCTGCAAATAAACTACTCAATGTGAAATGCAATTTCTAATGTAAAGAAAATAAATATTTATGGTGCTTATCTGCAAGTGGGAGATTGCAAACAGTGAACCAGGTTTTTATCTGGCTGGGAAGTTTGTCAGCTCACCTAATTATATGTTAGGGTATTTTAAAGACAGAAATACGTTGTGTCTGAAATACTTAGGCCTTGATCCTATGTTAGATAAGCCAGTGATTGCTGCAATATACCTTGCACAACCAGGTAACGTGCTGCTTTTTTTTATCTGTCCTTAATCTTTTGGAGGAACTACATTTGGTTTCTCTCCATCCTCCAGCTGAACCCACCATAGTTTTTCCAGCTGTGGGGTGCTGCCCTGCCCTCCACCCCTAGGGAAGGTGCCCCTGCCCTCTGGTAGAGCAGCAGGGAAGGGTAGCAAGAGAGGGGAGAGCCTGGGATAGGGTCAAGCATGTGGAGCCCACTGGGGATGTTTGGCTCCTGGTTTCTTTCCACCCATGTTTCCACCTGCCCAACTCCTCTTTTCCTTCCCCAAGATGTGTCAGTCCAGTCCTGGTGGCCAGTCGTCATGCAGCAGTGAGCCGTCACCCCTTGGCAGCACCAACAACAATGACAGTGGAGTAGAAATGAACATACACAGCGGGGGAAGTCTGGGAGATCTGACGGCGTTGGATGACAACGCTCCTGTTGTGGATTCAACGGTCTCATCTGGTAATTCGACAGTCAGCCTGCACCTAAGGAAACACATGACGACGATGCAACGACTTGAACAGCTCAAGAAAGAGAAACTCAAGACAGTTAAGGATTCCTGCTCATGGGTGAGCCCAGCTTCACAAGCCAGAAACACCAAGCTGCCTCCCATCTCAGGAAACGGTAAGCCCTGGGCCTGGGCCATGTCCCGTAGGAACCCTCCAGAGTTTGACTCTGGTTTCATAACCAAGAGTCTGTCCTGGAGGAGGATCATTTCTTATTGCCTCTGAGTAAGCACTTGCTGGATAGAGATGTCAGGTAAAATGGAGAGCTTGGGAGTAAACACAGCCATCTGGTGTTGTGCAACAGAAACCCAGATGCTCAGTGCTACAGAGCTAGAAAAGAGGCAGAGATGTTGGTGTCCTTCTTGTTCCTGGGCTTGCCCAGGACCCAGCCACAGCTGCCCTCGCTGCCCCAGTGGCAGCCGCAAGACTGCTTGGGTTTGTTTCAGCAGTAACAGTTCCCCAAGGGCTGATGTGCCTCCAGGAAGATTGCTGGAGCACAGCAGCAATCCAGACAAGCCCTCCATCCTTGATCTTGCTCTGACAGGCCTTTTGTCACTTTGAGAGCTCCTGGCTATTGCCTACAGCTTCATATGCTAGTTTCCCTGCTGGCTGGGGATTCCTGATAAAGGCATCTTTATGATCCCTTCAGTGCTCCTCTAACTTTGCCAAGAAGTCCCAAAGCATACAGCCTGGGTTATACTAAACCTCAGGGCTTGGTGTATTGGAGCTTCTTGGTTTACTCTGGGAAGAGCCTTTGAGTGTCAACTTTTGGGCTCTCAGACTCTGATCCCTGACTGCTGTGCATCTGTCCCAGTGAGCAGCTGTGGTTGTAGCTGCATGCTGTCCCCATGGCACTGTTCATACCAGTCCTACTTTTTTCCTACTAAGAGAAGCCCACATGGAGGCCCTTCCTCAGCAACTGAGCATCAGTGGGGTACACATTGCAAAGACTCTGCTGCAGGGACTTCTTGTTTTCTCTCCCCAGCCTTCTTGCCCTTTGTGCATGGACACAGAGCTGGAGATGAAGCTTTGAATTCACTGGCAGCAAATGAATTTCACTATTGTTCCCATAAAGTATTTAGGGGTGGCTTTGTGTGTCTGTATTCTGGCACCAAGAACACTACCAAGTGGAATTACTCAGCTAACTAAATCTTTTCCTTCCCTGCAACCTTTCTCTCAGGCTCTATTCTAGAAAATAGTGGTGGTTCTTCTGCTACGCTGCCCAATCCCAGAATAATGGAGCTGTCTGTCAATGAGGTTACGATGCTGAACCAACTCAACGAGCGCCGTGATAGTACGACAAGCACCATCAGCTCCGCCTACACCGTCAGCCGCAGGTCATCAGGGATCTCCCCGTACTTCTCCAGCCGCCGTTCCAGCGAGGCTTCACAGCTCGGGCACCGTCCCAATAATACGAGCTCTGCTGACTCCTATGACCCGATTTCGACGGATGCCTCCCGTCGGTCGAGCCAGGCTGAAAGCCAAGTACGCTGCTGCCACGGGGGGCCCTCCTCCAACTCCCCTGCCAAACATGGAGAGGATGACCCTGAAGAACAGGATCTCACTTATGGATGGACCAGACCCCACCTTGCCCTCCATCCGTCTCCCGCCAGGCCCCAGGCGTTGCAGCGATGGTAACAGCTATGGCTACCCGTCAGCTGCGGCATTTCCCCACGAGGTGCCAGGCAACTGCGCGAGGCGGGCGAGTGACCCAGTGAGGAGACCTGCCGGAGACCCCCAGGCCCTCCCACGAGTTCAACGCTTCAATAGCACCAACAGCATGAACCCCTTCCATCCTCCACACCCCACAGACAGGAGGAATTTTGGCCTCCAGAACTATGGTCGCTCAGACGGGAGCCTCCCCCGGCACACCTACTCACCCCGGCCATTGAGCATCAGTGAAAACATCGCCATGGAAGCTATGGCCGGGGAGGCAGAAGTGCCTGTTGGAGACGATGACATTATGCTGCCAGACGACGTGGTGCAGTACATCAAATCCCAGAGCAACGGGACCGCAGCTGAGAGCACTTCCATGGGGTACAGCAATGAGATGCAAAGTTTCCAGGGAAGTGGGAAGCTGCAGCCTCCAGCCTTGCCTGGCCAGCGCAGGATGGCGGTGGCCGAGGCGAGCATGAGCCACTTGGGACCCATGATGGCAGAGTGCCCCATGACCTTTGATGCTTCCTCAGACATGAATAAAAATAACATGCCCGTCCAGTGGAATGAGGTCAGTTCGGGTACAGTCGATATCATGTCCAATCAGTCAAAGCAGCAGTTTTCTCAAGGGAACTTAGCAGTGGTCCAGCAGAAGCAGAACTTTGGTCAGTACCAGAACTACAACCAACAGCAGATGCAGCTGCCGGAGAATAGTATGAACGTAACACAGCAGAACTTTATGCAAAGAAATGTGGGCATGGACGGGCAGAGGCTAAACTGTATGCAGCTGCGGCAGCAGCCCGTGAGCCTAGGCCCTGGTATGAACCCTGATCTGGGTTTGCACGCAGGGTATAACCAACCTCATCAGATGCTGAGTCCCAGTGCAATCAGTGGCAATCCAAATCAGATCTCTCCTTCTTGTAGCAGCATGGCAGCAAAGTCCGTACCCCACCTTCACCCTCAGCAAATGGACATGGCAACAGACCCTTCTTTAATGGTCGGCAGCAACAGTGAGCGCACGATGCTGGGCCAGGTCATGCATGAACCAAGTCATCAGAACTATGCATCTCAGCCAACCCACCTGAACTTTCCCATGGCTCAGGAGGCCTTTCATCAGCCCATCGTGACCTCCAACCAGGCCAGCTTTGAGCCTCAGCAGAGCATGATGGGCTCAGCCGCACAGGCATATCCTGGACCTGGCATGGTCCAGCCTCGTCCTCCGCCCGAGCCGAGCCCGTCCAGCAGACCCCGAGGCCTCCGCACCATCCAGCAGCTGGGCTACATGAGAACTCCCCACCCTACAAACACCATCAGCTCGGGCCAGGAGGCGACGGAGGCCGTGCATAAAAGAACCAGCGATATGTTGCCGGCGCCGACCCAGCAGTGTGCAGACGGTACAAGGGAAAACAATTTGATGTACTATTATGGTCAAATCCACATGTACGAACAGAACAGCAGCTTCGATAATCACGCGGACTGCCGGGTCAGACAGCAGCAGTGCGCACTGACCAGCAAGCCGGCCACTCTGCCTTCCCCGGGCGCGAACCAGGTGTCCAGCACGGTGGACTCGCAAGGTCTTGAGCCGCCCCAGATAGATTTTGATGCCATCATGGATGATGGGGACCATTCGAGCCTGATGTCGGGCACCCTGAGCCCCAGCATCCTGCAGAACCTCTCCCAGAACTCCTCTCGCCTGACGACTCCACGAAACTCTCTGACACTGCCCACCATACCCGCGGGAATAAGCAATATGGCAATAGGCGATATGAGCTCCATGCTAACCACGCTGGCAGAAGAGAGTAAATTTCTAAACATGATGTCCTAACAGTAAAGCACAAGGCCTTAGCGCTCTCCAAGGGGCTGTGCGTGAAGCAGTTTTATGAATGTGCTTTTCAAAAATAATCTGTTTCAATAGAGTAGATTTTTTTATAAGTATTAAATGCATTAAAGGGATTCAAAAATGAAAATTTTAAAAAGTCTCTGTACAGAATTATGTAAACTATATCCAGGCAGTTTAGCACTGCAAGAGTGCACCTCTAGTGTTATTGTTTGGCTTGGTTTCCCAGAGCACTGAACGATATCGCCACCAAGCTAGGAGACTGCATGAGCGTGGTTGAAGATGAAACCCTCCCTCCCTCCCCAGCAGCCCTGTAAATAGCACTCCCCATCATTTTCCGTTGGTTATGCTCACAAAAAATTCCATTTTCAACCCACCCCAGAAAGAAACGGGAGGATGCAGTTTTGATCAGAATAAAAGCCATACTATGTATTCTGCTCTGATGAGAGTAGGGTTTAGTTACGTCTCCAAACAAGCCCTCTGCCAGCAGTATTGTTTTATACCGTAAATACCTTTGTACCTCGCAAAGAGTGTTGATTCCAAACAGCTTCTCAGCAAAGTGCCTTACCATGCTTTCGTGTTAAGTAGCCAAGGCCTCTCTTCCTTTAAAAATCAAATATTGCCAGAAGCGTATATAAAATGTACATTTATAAAAACATAGTGGTGTTTCTGAGAAAACATTGGAAAGACACATTGATGAGACACATAAAAGGTGAATGCACACTTTGATCAGATGTGTTTACAACGTGGTTTATATCATGTGCAGAGTGGAGCAGAGGCCTGGGAACAGCAATCACTGGGAAATAATCCCCCGTGGCAGGAAGGCTCCGGCGTGCTGACTGACACACACACATAACTTTGCGCCCTCTGAGCGTGGCGACTTTCTTGCAGGGGCCCCGCATGCATCTTTAATGCCAGGTTTCTGAAGCACGCATTACCATATCCCCGTGCAGCTTTGCAATGGCTTCCTTTTTTGTTGGGTTTTCCGTGCTAAGGCGCTCACATAACAAAAGTGATGGTGATGGAGAGAGTTTTATGATCATTTCAGCCCAGTCTGCACTACGGCGGCCCTGTGGGACTTGGTTTATCTGGCCAGGGTTCGTCTGTGTAGTACACTCCATGCAGGGCTCTGCCTGGGCTCCGTGCACACAACAGGCGCGTGGCTGCGCTGATGCCAGGCCAAGCATGAGCTAATGCACCCTGCCCTGCGAGGAGGCTTGCTGGCATGCACCCAGTGCAGCGTTAACGTGTCCCACAGCTTTGATCAGCATGAAAAGAGCAGCTCTATCCAAAAACTATACCATGGACAACCTGGGGCATTAGTTTGGCTAGTGCTTTGTGATGCAGTACATAGCTGCTCTTTGTACCCAGCCTGGTTCAGTTCAGCACTGCACCTGCAGTCTACAGCACAGGCAAACATCTGGATAGTCTCAAAACAGGTATTTGAGTCAAAATAGTAGTTCAGTCAGTGAGAATCTCTTGGAAACGTCCTTGGGGAAGAGATGGGAGGAGCAGGGCCTCCCAGAGCCAAATCCTCCACCAAAATATAACTGCTTGTAATAACGATCAGCTGTTTCCAGGCCGGTCCCACCTGGCACTGAAGTCAATCTTAGTTGCATTATTTATTTTTACTGTCATTAGAAAAAAGGGTGGAAGTGGTGGGGTGCATGCACTTGGGCAGGAGGCCTTGCTTAACTTCTGACTGCGTTGGACAAGGACAACTCTCCTCATCCTGCTCTCATAGCATCATATCCTTTGTACCCAGTATGTTGAAGAGCAAGGGACAAGCATGACATCCCCCCCAGGTTCTTATAGTTTGACCAGACAAGTGTCTGCAGAGCTTCACTCTCTCCTTCCCACCTCCCCTCTACCCCTCATATTGATGTGATGTTCTCACTTGCGTCCAACTCCGTCCCCTGCATGGGACAGGGGCAGCTCTATAAAGGTGCTTTCTGGTGTCCCTGCTTTCTTTTTGCACAAACTGATGTCAGGCTCACTATTCCCAGCATGACCAGGGGCTGGCATGGAAATGCCACGTATTACCTTCAGGCAACCTTTGCAATATCAAATGTGCCAGCAGCCATCCTTGGCAGTGGTGGGTTGGGACAGCCCTGCTGCCAGGTAGCCCTGGGTACGGCTGGTGCAGGGAGGTGCTGCTCAGCCCCCTGCGATCTCGCCTGTCCTCATCCCAAATGCAGAGGGTGTGCACAGGATGCTCTTCACCCTCGAGGCCCCTGTGACTCCTGCTGATGTCCAGGGTGCATGAGTACAGGAAAGCAAAGCAAGGTGCCTGGCTGTTCACTTGTGTCTCCTGTGAAGGTTGTGTTCAAAGGGATTGTTTTCTAGTCCGCTGTATATATTCTCCTGCAGTTACTGACCTTGCCCTTGCCTTTGCATTTATGAAAAGAGGGCAGTACATATTTTAGGACATTGTATGTTGTCCTGGATGCTTGGAGTACAACTGGGCATCCCTTGTGCTGAGGTGGATCAGGCTTTCGTGTGTCCTTCAACTGCTAATCTGCTTTTTTTCAACAGCTGCATAGGGCAACGATGGCTACTGAGTCCGTCTTCACAGATATCTCATTAGCAAAAGATCAAATGCAAAAGCAAAACCAAATCTCCAATGACTTGAGATTTCTCAGACTTTCCAGTGGTGGTCTTCCTTCATTTACTGAAAAAGTATTATAATAACCATTCCAGCACTGTATATATTATGTATAGAAGACATCATTACTAAAAGTACTGTAGGTGAATTGTTCTGTCAAATTTATATCTTAAGAACATTTTTAGCTGTTTTCTACATCATAAGAACGGAGGTAACATGCTGAACCTGTATATAAACCTTTTGTACATTAAAAAGTAATTTTTTTTCATAATTTCTTGTGCCTGTTGTTATTGTTTTTTATTGATAACAGTGGTTGGTCTTGGTCTGTCATTGCCATGTCAACACAGTCGGTTGGACTCTGGTGGTGCTTAGGAACAGCTGGTGAGGAGCTGGGTGGGACTGGTGTGTGAGTCACTGCTGGATGTGCAGTGGTCTTGCCTTGACAACTTTCCAGTCAACACTAGGGTGGAGGTGGCAGAAACAGAGGCAGCGAGGTGGGGTGCTGCTGCAAGCACAGCCATCCTGCCCAGGTGGCTTTCATTGGCCTGGCTGTGCAGCAGGGACAGCACAGAAGGGCTCAAAGCAAGAGCTGGAGAAATTTGGCAGCCAGAGGATTCATGGCAAAATGGCTTGTTGACCAACTTTGTCAGTGTCCAAAAGGAGACAGAAACAGGACAGATCAACAGAGCTGTGATGGGCCATGACAGCAACTAGTTGAAAATTAAGTTTGAAGAAAGAGAAATGAATCTCTCCACTATGTATGTGATGGGAAGCAACGCGACATGGTGAGCAACAGCTACCATCAGTCATGATCCAGTTAGAGGATGATCCAGCCCATTGATGAGAAAAATTTCGTTTGACTGCAGCAAGAGGTAGCTCAGCCACTCAAGAGACTGATTTTTCAACTTGGTTTTGTAGAGGTGGATTGGTGTGGACAGGGCTAGAGCTTTAAGAGAAGCTGGGGGCAAGCTGTTCACAGGTGATCCTTATGGCCACAGTGATGAGTTTGGAATAAAACCAGCTGTTGAGCAGAGCAGTTGCCTAGTGAATCAGCCATGGTGTTTGGTGCAAATGAACCAGCAGTTTTATGCAGAAGCAACTGAAGAGGATGACCTCATTTTCCTCCATGCAGGATCCCTGCTGAGTTGATTGGTAGAATCAGGTAAGTTTGGGATAAATCCTCACCCTACTATCTGGGTTCCCTCGTAGTCTGTGGCAAGCAGTTGGCATATCCTGAGACAGAATTAATCTTTCCTGTTTTAGGCACATAGGATGGGGTGGATTTTCCTCTGGAAGTCAACTGTCACTCTCCTTGTTGATTAGAGAGAGACAGAATGTAGCCAGCTTAGATTAGATACCTTCTCTGGTAGGGTGAGATGAATCCCATGCTCCTGTGAATCTTGTGTACCAACCTAGTCACTCTCAGCACAGTCTAAGGTTGAGCCAGTGAACAAGATGTTGATTAATGTGTTAATGATCCTGTTAGTCCACAAATCCATTGGATAAATATCACACCCCTCTGTACTGTCCAAGAACTACAGAAATAATGTTAAAAAAAAAATGCAGTAATATTATTAAAAGGAAGCTGTTCAGAGCCTTTCTATTGACAAAAGGCTTTGGAGACTCAGATCAGCTCCTAGTGCTTCTCTACTTCAAACACCTAAAGTGGGTTTCTAATCTAGATCAAATGCTGCTTTTAGCTGGTGTTTTACTTGAGTTCAATCAGGGCACACCTCTGCCTGTGTAAGAACATATTTATTACTTAAACTGGGCTAACATTTCCTAGGAGCCCACTCGAGGTCACATACCAGTATGTGCATTTCTACTGCTCAGCCATCCTAGAATAAACAGGGATCGAAAGGCTCATTGCTCCAGTTGTAAGCAGGTAATAGCCCTTCCGCAACAAATGTTTATAAGCCAGAGCTTGGAGTATACACTACTGTGGAACCTTCATAATATTCAATTAACCTTCTTTTTAATCAGTCATATCCCTTATGAAAACAAACCATCCTAACGGGGCTGATTCTGACCCTGTTTGGTGACTGTTACCTCGCTCCACTCCCAAAACCAGTGGGGGCATAGGAGGAGTAAGATCCCACTCTGGGTAAAACCATCACAGCTCTTTAATATTGCACTAATATCTCAGGTTTTCCTGGTGGGGAGAAAAAGCCCATAAAAGCTACTGTTGTTGGATCTGATTGCACTCACTGAGTACAGAGTCATTCCAACGGCTCTTTATTGCCGTGGTCTCAGTAGGGATGACATAGGAGCTCTCGTTCTTTACGAGCTGTTGGATCTACTTGGAAGAGCATACGTGTTGTAAATAAATGGTGTGTTTTATATTATTGGAAGGACAATTTATGACCAACCAAGGCCTCCTGCA